TGAAGGGGAGGGAGCCGTGAACATTCATAGGTATGCGGTGGCATGGCTACTGCATCCTATAAATACTGCAGCCACATGTGCATGAACCACTCTTATCTGCTTATGTCTCTGATGATGGATTCGAGCAGGAATCCGAAACGTCAGGCTAATAAAGCTCTTGTCCCGGTGATCGTGTCTTCTTCTTCAGGAGGTAGATGAGTTTGGGAATCCTACTCGCCACTTACGTGAAGCAAAGTAGTCAGTGAAGTCAGCAATCAAGAATACGAAAAAATGCAACCACGGCTTCCTTAGCAGTACCAAAGGCTGAAAATTGAGACGGTCCGTCCCAGGAACTAGACATGGTTAAGAGCCAGCCTCCTAAGCAAGAAAAAGACGAGCCAAAGCGAACTTAGAGAACAAAGAAACATCCCAGGAAAACAACAAGTACCTCTGTGCGATCCAAAAATCGGAGGCCGTCTACGTACACGCAGATCAGCAGAGTAAGACGGCCAGGAGGACCGATAGAAGATTTTACTTATGTCGTACAACAGTGATATCGGCCCCGACCTCTAAGTGTCATTTTGGAGACTGAAGCACAGGCACAGCTCCTGCAATAGAGAAAATCATCTCTGGGGGGCCGGCATCCCGAAGTTTCCTCCAAGACAAAAGAGCGGATGAAAATGAGAGAGCTGATAACGGAGCTGGAAAAGCCAAGGATCAGCGGCGAAACACGAGTACAAGTCATGAACAGATAGATAGTTCAGGTCAGAAGAACATCCCTCTGGCTGAAGGCCGTCATTTTGACAGCCTTACCAATGTAACTGTGCTAACTTCTGGCGCTGTGAGCACCATTGGTCACTGTCTAGAAATCTATTACACTAATTGTTAGAGTCACCTCGACAAGCTAGATGGACTCACATTACTAGCCTCCGCACAGAAGCCTAACATAACTGTCTTAACAGAGACACGGTTGACTGAGGAAATAAGCAGCAGCGAAATCAGTATTGAAGTGTTCCGTTGTGATAGATTTCAACGTAGGGGAGGACGCACAGCAGTTCATGCGTCAAATGAAATTCCGTGCTGTCAGCGAGAAATATCCGATGTTGTGCCGCGAACATTTGAAATGATTTCATGCAAGATATGTATCAAACAATCACGGACACTGAACCTGTGTGTTGTCTATCGGTTTCCCAGCTCAAATGAAATCGTCGATATGGAATTACTTAGTGAACTAAATTTATGTAGTCAGGAGAACGTACTACTACTGGGTGACTTTAACGCTCTAGGAATAGACTGAACGCTCTGTTAACGTCATTTGACCACAAGCTACTACAACTCTCTCTGGATGAATACATCATCCAACATATAAAATTCGGAATAAGACTGAGATAAGGACAACGATGTAACTGTTTGGATCTCGTTTTCAGACTTCTGGCAGTGTTTTAATGGGATTATAGAGCATCTAATTGACTCCCATTGTCCTATAAATTGAAAAGACTATGTGCGCGACCGCCGTGTGTCACTCCAATCACAAAACGACCACGAATAAGGAAGAAAGGCTGTAGAAAAGTATTTGCCTTTTCAAGATTCAATAACATTTGCCGAACATAAGAAGCAGCGCAATAAATGCCACAAACAAATACGGGCTGCTAGAACTTTTGAGCGCCGACTGACCGCAGAATCAACTTTATGACCCAAGAAGTTTTATGGGTACATCTGCAGTAGGAGGAAACATAGGGATGAAGTTGCGTGTCTAAAGGATAACCTCGGAAACTTGTCAGTTGAAGGGTCACAGAAAGTGCAATTACTGTCTCATTTTTTTTCGATCGGTTTTTACGGAGGGACTCTCTGAAGAAAATTAGGAGTTTGAAATGCCCCAAGACAGCCGGGAGTTTCAAATGCGCCTGCTACTGCCGTCATTGAAACCGTTGCCTTTTCCGTCAAAGAAGCAAGACGACTGCTCAGTCAAATAAAGCCAGATAGTCTTCTGGAGTCAGCGGAATTTCCGGGATGATACTTAAGGAGATATCAGCGGAACTGTTAAAACCTCTTTCGACTCTCATTGAGCTGTCAATGATAATGGGGTGATTTTCATCGCAGTGAAAGACAGCTAACCTCGTTCCCTCACATTAGGAAGGTAGCAGGATGGCAGCAAGCAGCTTCAGGCCTATTAGCTTAACTTGCCTCTCGTGTAAAACGATAGGAGCTCTAGTAAAGAGTGCTATATAGCAGTTTTGTGAAGAAGATAACATCTTTTAGGATTTTCAACGTGGCTTCCAGAGAGGAGGTTCCTGACTCTCTAATATGCTAACTTATATGGAGATCTGGACCAGGGCTTTAGAAGAGGTTTTTGAGGTGTATGTCGTGTACATCGATTTTCGCAAAGCATTCGACAATGTCCTGCACCAACGCCTTTTTCACAAATTGAGCTCCATCGGCATCCGGGAGATCCTCTGAACTGGATAAGAGCGCTTCTGGTTGGTCGGAAACAGTATATCTGAATCGGAGGTGATGTCAGACTGGGTGAACGTGACTAGTAGTTTGCGTCAAGGCTCAGTCCTGGAACCCTTGCTCTTCATCCTTTATGTTCATGGCAGCCCTGAGGAACTCGACTGCGGTAAAATAATTTTTACCGACGACGTTAAACTCTGGCAAGTCATTAAAAGTCCAAATGACCAGAGAGACCTTCAAAAC